TCACAGATCCCGATTCGATTTGTACCCTTAATAATGTTAGCCACAATTCGCTTGGGAGTTGGGAGTCAGGGAGCTGGAAAGTTGAGTAGTAGTACCTCAGCAGAAATATATAGGGCTCGGCGCCTTCTAACATATGTCTCCATAACTTAAAATCCCTAATTAATTTAATAACTCATATTTAATTTTGTCATACTATTAATAAATAATACCACTTTTTATTGTCTCCCATTAAATTCAATATGAGTGGGCACTAAACTATTTTACTTTTCTTTTTAATTATTATAATTTTTAGTTATATTTGTTATAATCTCTTTCTCTTAAAATAATAATTTTATTTTGATATTTTTATCCGTCGTAAAATAATAGTCTTATCTTTTTAGAAATATTTTTATACAATTTCAATATAATACTAAGTATTTCTTAATTCTCGTGTCTATCCCAAATGTCCTTATTGCATTGGAACGGCGCGAATATTATAATAGTCATTATGTCCTATTTTAAATGATACATTTTATTTTGTTGCATTTTAGATGATATGTTTAATTTGAGACTCAGTAAATAATAATAAATTATGATATTATTTTTATTATTATTTTTTATATAAGTAGTATTGTTAGTAATTTTAAAATAAATATTAATCACTACAAGAAAAAATTATTTTTGTAACAAAATTTTTTTGTCTCTAAATTTACTTTTTCCGTTACTAATGACATTAGAGACGGAATTAGGAACGGAATTACGTTAGCTACGTGAACTTTAGGGACAGAATTCCATTACAAATATATTATTTTTTTGTAGTGAATATATATGAATACAAATTTTTAGAATATATATTTAAATATCTTAAAATTTTATTTCAATAAAATATATTCCCTCCATCCTAATTCAAAGTATTATTTTTATTATTTTTTTCTGTCTCATTTTAAAGTATCTCTTTTTTATTTTTAAAAAAATAATTATATAATAATACTAAAATATCATTAACTTTTACTTAAACTACAAATATAATATTACATATATAATTACTTTATACCTAAAGTCAAAGGACAAAAATGTCAAAATTTCTTACACACTTTCGCTAACCAATAAAAATACTATTATTTCTTAATCTACTATAAAATTCTAAATGACCCATGAGGGACGGAGGAAGTATGCAATGTGAATATTATTTTATAAAGAATAAAACTTAGCCTGGTCGAAAATTCCCGATAAATTTGCTATATAATACAAATAAATTAAATATATATATATTTATGATTAATATAAATTAATTTTATAAAACATGAGGAATTTTAAATGTAGAAAAAATATTTTATTAAGGAGATATATAAAAATAAAAGAATTTTAAGTGAGTCATAGACGATATTATATGTTATAAAGTTAATTAAATTAATTTATATTTGTTAAATATGTTTTGAAGTAATAGATTTTATCAAATATATAAAGGTATCATTTGATATAGACATACTAAAATGAAAAATATATCATTCGTTACGATATGAAAGAATATGACATAAAATTAAATTATGGCTCTCAAGAAAATGTATCCATACTAAATATCATACTAAATTAATTACATTGATAGTGTCAAAATAGGATGTGTTTATTTGGAATTTGATAATACTTTTATAAGATAAAATTTTATATTTTTATTGAAAATCGAAATAATTAGTTACTAAAAAATAACCAAAAAACACACGCGGGTCAATGTATAATAATATTAACCTTAATTAAGGACAAATTAAAATGCTACCTATCACTACCTATCTAAATAATGTGATCGTGAAGTCATTGGTTCAAATTCCCGACGCCTCAGGTCATCTGCCACATATGGTTCGCCTAGTGTGACTTGGATGTCGGGTCTGGTTTGCAGGTAGATTCGTTCGGAGGTTAACCCAGTGCGCACTTTCGAGTAGTGGCTGCGGGTTCCCACGTTATAAAGAAAAAAAAAAGAGTCTATTTGAATTAGCTTAAAAAATAAGTAGAAATAAAAGATGGAAGCAGAAGCAATTCAATTGAATCGTTATAAAAATGATTTTTTTTATTAGAAAAAACTACTTCAATATAATAAAGTTGAAAGTAAGATTTTGATTTGATATTTTGCGAGAGCAACAGTTATATTTTTATTGAAAAATGTTAAATTAGGTTTGAAAATCAAATGAAACACCTAAGGGTGTGTTTGTTTGAGGGATTTGTTTGGATTTCCATTATACATCCTATTTTTTTCCCTCAAAAAATCAAATCAAATACCTATTTTTCATTTTCTATATTATACTAAAAATCAATTTTACATTCAAAACATCACATCAACGCCTATTTATATCACATCAGACAACTATTCAAATTCAAAATTTTTACTATTCAAATCCCAACTCAAAATCCAAACACTCAAACAATTTTTTTTTTTTTTTTTTTTTTTTTCGAACATCATGCTAAGTGAATAGTGTTGAATTTAATTGAAAGCAAAACCAAACACATGTTATCACATTAATTAAAAAGAATTGAAATTAATTAGATAAGAGTCAAAATGAAGGTTTCACCTCTCATTAGGGTTTTGCAATAATTGAGATAGTTAGACAGCTAAATTTTAATACATAACACATGGAGTTCAATTAATTAGCCAATAAAAAGAGTTGGTACATTTATGAAGAAACAAAAAAAAAAAAAAAAAAAAAAATTATTTATTTATTTTACTGCAAATTTTATTAATTATTATTTATATTGATCGTTATAGTGAAATCCATCAATTAAATTCTTCTTCTATTAAATAATTTTATATAGAAATTTCATTCATACAAAAGCATGCATGCATGCAAACAAATAAATAATTAACAATATTGATTAAAAACAAGAACACACTTAAAAATCGATCGAAACTAAACCCTAGCATCTACCAATGCATGTATCTATATATATAGTAGAAATTTATTGTATATATAGTATTGACTAAATTATCGCGAACTACGCGTTTGAAAATGGGTTCTTGATGATTGTTCGAATCTTATCCGTAGCCTTTTACTTATGTCTATTTAAAGAGTTGCATGAGACAAATTATTTCATCATCATACTACTTTCGCGACAATACTTTGCATCGTAAAGGGATTACATGATATAATTTATCTCAAAATTTTTGTCCAAGAAAATTGAAATAAATTGGTAAATTTCTAGTAGTGCTTTTAGAAAATCTAACATAATATTTTGAATAATTTCAACTTATAAGTCACATATTAAAAACTTTTTCAATTTATGCTATTGGAAACAATATATATATGCATACAGTGGCGGATTTAGGATTTTGAATTTGGTGGATCGATAAATTAAATTAATTTAATTAAATTAAAATTAAAATAAATAATTACATCAACAATAATTTACATTAAAAAAAAATACGAAAATTCAAATTAACAATCGCTAATACATCAAAATAACTATAAGTATTCATGACGAGATCTTATATTTTAATATCGTCTTTAGTGTCGTCTATATTAACTTCCATAAACATATTTGTTTCTAGAAAGTAACAACAATCATTCAATAATTAATCTCTAATGCTATTCTGTAATTTGTAATTTATGATAGTTGTCCAAGATAATATTTCTACTATTGCAATTGCTATGGAAGAAGTTTAGTAGAAGATGTTCTTTTTTTTTTTTTTCCAACAAATTTTATATAAAGTTTATTTAGATTTTTTAAATCTCAAAATATCTCAAACATCAATAATAAAATAATCCAATAATAATTTGAAAACGATCGATTTTGCTTCTGAAACTTATCTTGCAAGCAGATGTTATCTCTTTTTATTAAAAGAGAAAAATCAATTAGAAAAAAAATATATTAATAATTCATTTGGTGGGTTTTGTAGAATACTGCAACAGTCATTGATTTACAAAATAAAAATAAAACTAATACTTAGGGGTGTATTCGTAATTTTAGTGATAATTAATATTATTTTATTTTAGTTTTTATGGTGGGTCAATTGACCCACCTTGTCTAACACTGCATCCGTCCATGTATACATATTAAAAACAATCATATCGATTTATAGAAGGCTATTATAAAAGAATATTATATATATATATTAGCACAATATATAATATATATACATTTTATCCACTAAAACAATTAACAATTCAATAGAAAATATTAATACCTGCTAAATTATGCTATTATTCATTTTTTAGTTAAATTTATGTCTATTCAGTTTATAGAAAATAATTTTATTTATTCATAATTTAACTACATTTATTTTAACAAATAATAACAAAATTTTCACTATCTTTTCTATTTCCTCTTTACTTCCTTACTAATCTTTCAATAACTTTTTCATTAACACTCTTAATTTAGTTTTTACTATCCAATTTTTATCATTAAAATAATATTATTTCTTAATCTCCGTATTTAAACAAACTTATAACAAACTTTGTAGGATTTTACCAAAATCTTACTATTCATCCAAAATTTTCCCCCCAAAAACATCAAATCAAACACCTATTTTTTATTTTTTATATTATACTAAAAATTAATTTTACATTTAAAACATCACATCAACACCTATTTATATCACATCATATAACTATTCAAATTCAAAATTTTTACTATTCAAATCCCAACTCAAAATCCAAATCCCCAAACAAACACACCCAAAATAAACGCCCTTGAGTTTATCTTGTTTGACGAATTGGGATTTCATACAATTAACAGCTAGAACTCACTAGTCACAAGTCTAGGTTGAGTAGAAATTCAAAAGAAATCATCAGTAGTGAAATGGAGGGAGACAAAGAAGTTAGGGTTAGCTAAGGTATAGCCAAAGTAATTAATGTCAGAAAATATAGAAAGAGAGAGAGGAGAAGAGGTTGTTGGACTTCGTCACATTTATATAATTAGATATATATATATATAGTTTAATGATCAATTGTATTGTATATATGTCGTCGTCTTCCACTGATCCACACACCACAATCAACCAATCTTCTCTCTCAGTCTGTCTTTTTGGGGGGAATCTAGGGTTTATTGGCTGATACAAGAAAGCTTCGATCGCTAATTTCCCAGGATTGTCCTTTGCATTGAATAAAAAAATTAATATTTGATATATGGATCATCGATCTTGTCATTAGCCCATTCTGAAAGGGTTCCTGTAATTTTCTTCTTCTCGAATATTCACTGTAAGGAATTCAATTGTGTCGTTTTGCCTGTTCTGGAGGGGTCCATCCAACACAGAATTAGCTACCTACACATTACCTCATAGTTCTCTCTCTCTATCTCTCTATCTCTCTCTATATATATATATATGCACAAGGTGAACAGCTTTGAGGGGTTTTGAAAGCTGACCAGATTTGCTTAATTTGATTAAAAGGGAGAAAAAAAAAAAAAAAGTTAATAGCAAAAATTAAGGTAGCTAGGTAGATTTGAAGCATAATGGAATGCAATGGCAATATTAGGGTTCCTTATTTTTCTCGAGCTGCAGCTTCTTCTTCAGAGAATTTTAGCTTTCTCTGCAACTACAGTAGCAGCTATGAGCACACATTTTCAGGTAATAATCTTTCATTTCTTGGTATGAATATGATTTGATCATGTATATATATATATATATATGTATATGTGGGATTCTATTCCAGAACTTAAATCAATTAAATCGTTAGAATCAAACTCAGAAATATCAGAATTTCTCTCCATTCTCAATTTCACTAGTTAATAATTACTACTTCAAAAGAGGGTTTAATTTCTTCAACCTTCAATTCAATTCACTTGCAGAAATGAAGCAGCCACCGCTCATGGAGGACGGCGGCATGGTTCCAATGTCGACGAGCAAGAACAACAGCAGCAGCAGCGTTATGAACATGTACGGACAGTCTTCGAATCCTTCAAAGAAGAAATGTCGAATGAGCACAGAGCAGGTGGAGTCATTGGAAAACAGCTTCCAGGAGGAGATCAAGCTCGACCCTCACAGAAAAATCAAATTGGCCAACGACCTTGGCCTCCATCCCCGTCAGATCTCCGTCTGGTTCCAGAACCGAAGAGCACGATGGAAGGGAAAGCAGCTTGAGCGCTTGTACCACCTGCTTAAACAGGAGTACGACGCTGTTTCCATGGAGAAGCACAATCTCCAGCAAGAGGTACACACACTATTAAAAATTAATATATATATATATTAATATATATATATATATCGCCATTTATTTTTTAATTAATTGAACTTTAATCACGCTATATATTGCTGCACATAATTGCATGTGTATTTATGAAACTCTACACATTGTATTTATATCCTGGGAGGCTACCTTGATTTCCATTTATTTCTGGTCCTAATTTTCATTCAATTCATGAATTTGAATCCAAGGCAACTCATATATATATATATTGAAGTTATTAATTAATTGATAATATGTTTGTTGAGATACGAAGAACTGGTTATATCATAATTTAGGGATATGATTTAAATATTATTGGTACAGTAAAATTCCTGCTTTAGCAGCGCCCCCAGACATAAATCATTCTGATCGAACTCTTGATTGTCTCTTCTTAATTTCCTGAAATTTTCATAACAATGTTCAATCATTAAATTGAACTGGATGCAAGCTAGGTTATGACATTAAGGGCAATGGTGAAGGATCATAAACAAGGTGCAGGTGGATCTTACACAGACAAGGAGGAGGCAGTGGCCGAAAGCGCATCGATCCCGGCGAGCTTGGATGGCCCGACGGGAGGAAGCAATCAGCAGATCGGCGAATGTAGCAATAACTATGTCTACAACAACCTTGACGAGGCCGACGATGACGACTTTAATCCGATGATGGTGAATCCCTACACTTGGGATGCTGCTAATCTGCCTTAATTAATTATGATTGTATGTTTCTTGGCCTAATTGAGTTAATTTCATGATTAATTATGATGTTTATATGTCTTTAATTAGATAGGTATTAAGAAAATTATGTTGTTTCTTAATTGGGGTTTGTTTATTGTGATGTTGTTTTTCTTTAGATTCTAATAACTGCCTATGCATTGGTATGTATGATCATTTTCGAGATTGTTGATTGGTTGATTCATATGATTTGGGGTATGAATAATTGCTGATCCGGTCAAATCAGCATATGATATCGATTTACAAGTAATTAGTATATATCTATATATATCTATACATATCTCAATATATTTATAATACAAATATATTATATTATAACTTAATATGTATTGCGTAGATTATGCTGGTTATGTATATGACATATGCTTGATTTGCACAGCACAAAACATTATTGATGTATGTGTTATTTGATATTGCACTTTTGGGCTAATCTCGAAAAGATTGTTTAAAAAAGAAAATTGAAGAAAAATTAACATAAAGAAACATAGAGGAAGGCAAGAAGAATGCAAAATAAAGCAAATAACAAGAGAAAATACAATGCATAAGAAATGGAATAAAAAAGTAAAAATAGGAAAAAAATAGGAAAAAAAAAAAAAAAGAAGATAAGTTTGTTAATGTGTTGTTACCGTGTTCCCCCTTCTCTTCCTCTTATTTTTCTTTTACTCTATTCTTAATAGTTCCTTTTAAGTGTTTTTTTTTTTTTTTAAATTTTTCCTATAATCTCTGATAAGAAAATTATTAAATCATATGAGACTTATTTAAAATTCACTCAAAACTTTTATTTTGATCTCTGTTTTCGATAAATAAATCTATCTATCTATATATATATAAAACTTCTAATTTATTTGTAAACTAATTTATATAAATCATAAATAACTATAAATATTTTTTTATTTATTTATATTATATAAAAATTTATTTTCTATAAAATAATATTCATATTGTATATATTTTATTCACTATTAGTTCGGTCGAACATTACCGCTAAAAAAATCCGAGAGCACAATCACAAAACAAACAATCAAATCACTACATAACAAACAACTAATCACATGCCATACAAATAAAAAATCATGCATTTTTACAAAACAATCACATAATGCAACAAAACTAATTTTATCTTGATTATCCTTCTAATTATTCATTCTTTTAAGCATTTTCCAGTTACCACCTAACATGCAATATCTAACCATCAAGACAACGCAAGAATATAACCAAGCAACAAAAAACTTCCAAGGAAGGAAATAAAAATCAATTCCAAGATTATACACCACTCACCAAGAAATGCATGGCAAACAAACACCACAAAATTCAATATATTATTTAATCAAAAATTTCACCAAGATTCACCAAGATAAAATATATCGAAAATAAAGAGACGAGGGTTTAACCTTTTGCCACGGATTGAGTCTTACAAAACTCGAACCAAATATTTCTTTCAATTTTGGAATCGATTTCCAGGCTCTGATACACTGTTGTAAATATATTCCCGAAACTTTTTTGATTTATCGAACAAATACCTCGTATACAAAATACAAATCTAATTAATAGCGGAAGCAACGTTCAAATAAAACCCAAATTAAACTGAAAATAAACCAATACCGACAGGAAATTAAACAAAGGCATAATCTGAAATTAGAAATCAAAACACAAACAAACAGCCCCAATTTGATAATTGAAATGGAGTACATAGAATTCAAGTTTAATACTCCTCAGTTCGTAAATGAAATTGCACTCCAAAACTTCCCACAAAGAAACTCGACCGATGACGACGACCTTCTTCCTTCTTTCTACAGCCATCATCTCGGACGGACAGCAGCGGTGAACAGCGGTTTCCGGCAGCGCAGCGCTGAACAGCGACTCACAGGCCCAGACATATTGTCGGCTCTTTCACCGATCAACTTCAAACTCCGGCGGATCGATGGACAACGGAGACGGCGGTTTGACTCCGGCAGCAGTTTCCCTCCGACATTAGGGACGTGACGTTCGGTTTAGTCCATATGGTGCGATTAGCCCTAGGTAATCACCCCTCAAGGCTGGATGTCGGTTCGTCACTTCAAGCCAAGGTACCCACCGGAATAGGCACACGAAAAAGGATTTACTCTCATCAGAACTCCTCGCACTCGCCGGTTCTCACCTTTTCTCTCTAACCGGACTCACCCTCTCCTCCTCTATCTCTCTGTTAAGGAACGGTTTCCACTGCACCCCAAACTCACACTTTATATCTAACTAAACGGGTTGGGTTAAAAGTACGAGTGGGCAAAATATCCAAACCGAATCGTCGAACCGCCGAATATGGTTCGCCGTCACGGATCGACCTTTAGCCTTTCAGATACATCGCGGCATATCGGTAGCAGCGTATCGGTCAAATATCGGCCTATAATTTTTTTATATAAAATTTATATATATTTTTTTAAAATAATAAATAAATAATTAAAATACATCAAATTATAAATATAATTATTTTTAAAATATATATTATTGAAAAAATATATTATAATTTATAGTAGATTAAAATGTAAAATAAATAATATTTCAACTCAATTAGCATATATATATATATAAATATAAATGCTAAATTTTATGTTTTGCGCATTGTCATTATACTAATAAATTTATTTTAATAACAAAATGATCTACCTTGTGTCCGTCAATGTCAAGATTTCATCTTTATTATTTGTATTACATATAAATAAAAATAATTAGAAATAAAAATACCAATAAAATTTTATAAAATGTTCAAACTATGTTTATACTAAATATTTATACTTACCATTCAATACCATGTGGAATGTCGTGGATGCTCAAAATCATTTTCATCTGCCGATTGATTATAGTATGAATATCCTTGTTCTGGATTCATATTGCGTGGATAAAGGGAGATATTCGAACCATATTGATTTTTCCTAAATGAACCATTTCTATATACATCAAAACCTCGATATTCCCTACTATCATTGCTTCTGCTTGATGAACCATAATTTTGTCTACAATCATCAATACTACCCGAACCAGATGTAATCCCTCCGTAATATGTTCCAAGTGGTTGGTTGGATCCAAATATAGGAAGATTGGCTGAATCTTGAAAATGTTTGGGTAAATTAGATAAACCGTATCCTGGGTAATAGGGATTATAATATGCATTTGGTTGGTCAGAGCTCCTGTCACCCCAATCTATTACTCGAACTGTGAGAAGAATCTCCATAGGAATAACCTATATTCAAGTCTTGGATATGTTCGTGAACTCCAGAATATCTCCTAGTATCTGAAAATTTTGAAGCATCGGCTTCATTTGAAAATTTTGTTAAACTATTTAGAAAATCTTTTTGAGCTTTTATACCATGACGATATCCATGATCAGTGTCTTGGGTAGCATAATAATTTTCATTTCCTTGAGCCCATCCCATATCACTTGAGTATCGACTATCCCTGTAGCTCCCACTACCACCACCACCATCACCACCACCACCACCACCACCACCACCACCATGATCATCATCATCATCATTGTTATTATTCTTATCTTCACCATTAGTTGATGAAGATGAAGATTCCAATATGATTGTTTTTTTTTTTCTTGGCCGTATTTTTGTTTTTTGATTTTTCTTTTTCGCCTTCTTTTTTCCATCAGCTATAAATTGAGATAAAAATATATCGTTGTCATGATCATTATGCTCACTTTGACCTCCATCTCCACTTTCTTCAATAGCCTCATCCAACCAATTCAAATCACTATCATGAATAAGTGGAGATTCATTTTCTCTGACCATTCATCCAAAATATTATTTTCATAAAAAATATGATTCAAATTAATTGGGTCATAAAAATCGTCTGTGTCTGTCCTTTGCATAAATTTTTTTACCTGAAGACGTATGTTGTAGCAAACATAGACTAGCTTATGCAATTTCTCAATAGCTAATCTATTCCGAAGTTTAGTAAGGATCAAAGGCCACGTAATCCAATTCCACTCACAACCCGATAAGGTGCAAGTTTGACTCAAAACTTTTAATGTAATTTTTCTTAAATTAGGGATTCATCACCGTACATATTCCACCAGTCAGCTATTAAAAATAAATAAAAAATTATTAAAAATGCAACATTTTATAACAAGTATGTTTAAAAATATAGTTAGATGATAAATTTTATAATACATACCTGGTAAAGATGTAAATACAACTCTAATAGCAAGGGCACTTCCAAACTCTCCAATTTTGTTAACAAATGTGTTTATCTATAGACAGTATAATGGTAAAATTATTAGAAATTAATATATATATATTATTTATAAATTTCACACATTTTACCTCATTCATATCCTTTACTAGTATATCCAAATCTGGCTCGAGTCTTTTGATAACTTCTTTTACTCATTTTCGAACCTCCGAAGAATCAAATTTACAAGTGCCAGAGTATTGAAGATTAGGATTTAAAAAATAAGCTGCATGAAATGTATATAAAATTAAAAAATAAAATAAACGATTAGTACAATATAAAAATAAAAAAGTAACAACAGTAATTACCCTGCATGCAAATCTTGATGCAATTGATTATACCATCTTTCATCGATGATATTCCAGTATTGTTGAAAATCTTTCACCGCGGTTTTTATTGCCATTTTTGCCATATCCATTGCCTTATAAATGATAGGTAGTGTAGGTTTTTTTTATCTTGATCAACTACTTTTAAAACCTTCACTAAGGGTTCCATGACCCCACAAACTCGGCGTATCCGTTTCCAAAATCTTTCATTCAAAATCAAGTATGATATATCTCCGGCTTCATGTCTTCTCCTCGAGGTATTATTGTACTTAACCCATTCTCTAGAAATACACATTCTTTTCAAATCGGTTGCATATCTCAAAAGACTTTCTATTGCAACAAACTCGGTTGCAAATCTTGTTATGCCTGGTCGCAACAGATCTCGGCCATTCGTATATGTTTTCATCAAATTGACCACTTTATCACTATTGTATATAAATCCTGTAATTCTCCTGGCTTCTTTTATCGTATATTTCACAGACAATATATCTCCGATGTCTTCTAACATCAAATCAATGCGCAGCGCAGCGCATGAAGACCAAAAAATGTGCTTCATTTTCCTCATCAGTTTTTTCCCGGCCACCTTCATACTAGCTTCACTATCAGTTACAATTTGTACAATATTGTCAACTCCTACTGATTCCACCTCCTTATCCATTAGGGTGTAGACAAAGTCCGTAGTCTTTGCCTTATTTGTAGAATAAACCGAATTGTGATATATCATGTTTCTATCACAGTATCACAGTACACCATAAAATTTATGATTGGATGTTTTGTGCGAGTACTCCAACCATCACACATAATTGTACATCCGTATGTCTTCCATTTCTGCTTTAAAGAATCAACATACTGTACAACTTCTTGCATCTTCTCGTTTAAATATTCACCACCAATTTTCTTACCATTAGGTCCTTTAACTCCAGGTCCAACCGATGCAATCGTGCCAATCATCGTTTGGTAGTAAGGATCACTATCGGCAACGTGAAATGGTATTGCATTAAGATGAAAATTTTTTGAAATTGCTCTACCCACTTTTTTTGCATTATCTTTTGAAAACATATTTTTCAAAGACTTATTCTTCTATTGAAACATGTATGGATCAACTTTTTTTTGATGCAAACCTTCTGTCTTTTTCATAGAGCTTTCGAAAAAATTTCTTTTACTTTCTTTTGTATTCGAGCTGCTTCCTCCTACAAAGATAAAAAAACATATGATCATATATGGTTGTTATCTCAAAAAAAAAAAAAAAAAAATACTAATATTTAAATATATTTTATAAATTCAATAAATATACCGGCTTTAAAATTCAAGCTTCGTAGATCTCCAGATACAAAATGTCTACGCTGCTGCTCCATAAATTCCATATTTCTGCTTTCAGCCATTGCTCTTTTTTATTGTTTTCTTTCAAGAGCATCTATCTCATCTTCATTTATTTCAAAAACTTCATCTTCTTCCTCATCAGAATCATCTTCCAAACGAATGGAATTGTGCAATGCTTCTAATTTTTTTTTTCATATTTTTTATGTGATGCTCGCATACTTTTTTTTGGATTAAGTGTTTTTTTAATAACTCTCTTATTTCTTTTGGAGATTTCGTGCATGCTTCAACTTGACCTGTAACATGTGCTATATGTTGTTTCATCCTAGTAATTCCTCCGTGAACAATTTTACCACAATAATTGCACTTTGCTTGTTTTCTATCGTTGCTGATAGGATGATCTCAACCAATATCTTTGTGTGGTGTCATTTTACACAAACTCTGTAATTGAATAATACAATTGTTAAATATTTATAAATAGTAATTCATTAATTAACTAGACAAATTATATATATTAGTTTATTAATAAATCAAACTTATACAGAAATTTAACTAGATAACTAATTTGTTTATATAAAAAATCTAATTAAAATATTAATTTTTTACAATAAATATACAATTAATACAAATTTTTTCTTAAAAAATATTAATTCCAAAATAATAAAATTATAAGTTATTCTAAAATATTAATTTTAATGAACTCAATTTATATAGATTAAATAAAAATTAAATACAATCCAAAATAATTAAACTGAACTTATCAATAAATTAAACAAATTATTCTAAATAATTAAAAAAAAATCAATTAAATAAACAAATTAATCAAAATAATTCAAAATTAATTTCAATCCAAAAATAAGTAAAATAATTAATTTTTTACTACATTTAAATTAATTTTAACCCTAAAACTTACCCTTCTTTTCTCCCACGTTCTTCTTTAGCGTAGAACCGCGTTCTTCTTCAGCGCACAGCCGCAACGGCCGGCGACAACCTCTCTATTCAAGAACAGCGAAATTTCTTCGCCAATTCTTTCTCAACACCAAGGATTCCAAAATCCACCTTCCCAACACAGCGATACCCAAAAAACCTCATTCTCCAAGTAAATGCTTTCTTATCTAGGTTGAATCGAGATGAATTGGTATGAATGGTATGAATAAAAGGTAGAAAAAATGTAAGAGAAAGATTTAGAATCGTTTTTAGATAAGATATGAATGGACTGGGGAATTTTGTAGAAATATCGGATATTTTTGTCGGACCGTTCATGCCGCCGAACTGAATTTTCGGTTAACTAGCAAATTCGGTTCGAATACAAATACTACATATTTGGTATTTGTTCGGCTCGCTTTGGTTTCGGTTTTTAGCTTTTTTTTTTGTTCGGTTAATCGAATTGAATAATTTTATAATAAATTAATTATGTTATATTATATATTTATAATTTATATTATATGAATTATCATTAATAATATACATTAGCGCCACTGTAGACCAGACCCAGTGCAGGCCGCTAGACTCAATCTCTCAAATCTCAAACGCGATTTCACAACCATAAAAGATCTTCATCTACCTCATGACGTTGGCGGTACTTCATTAGTTCACCTCTCATGCGATTTTTCAGCCTATTAGTGGCAGCGCGACTTCATCTCCTTCCTGTGATTATTCATCCCACATTCCAATGCCCCGGCTTCAACCCCTCCCATTTCCTGCAGTTTGTGCACAACCATCTACACGATCATTTCTACTCTTCGCGCACAACACAACTGCACAATCGATCGGATAACAAATGAAAAATGTTGTGCAGAGATTTTTGTTTTTTTAGTGCAAGAACCATTTTTTTTGTTCAAAAATAATTCCAGAATATAAATTATCTATCACTATTGTTTATACTTTTTTTCTTATTTCTCACTAAAAAAATATTATATTTTATTTATACAAGTTTAATGGAATCAATGGGTTAAAAAACGGACGTTGATCCTATGAAATCTTCTATGCCAGAAACACAATCTCAACGTTGAATCAGAGAATTTTCAAACTCAGGCAACAGATAATTGTCCTGCTCCTAAGATACCTAAATCTCGATCTGTTGCTTGGGTTAATTTTAGAAAGATTGAATCTAGAGATAAGACAAATTACAATCATTGTTCTGCATTGATTACGTGCAAATCTAAGTTAGACACAAATACTAGTGCTATGTTAAATCATTTGAAAAGGTGCAAGATAATTTTGAATGAGGTTGAGGGTAATGGACATATGGGTAAAAAGTTGAAACAAACAACAATGCATTATCAACCAAAAAAAGAGAATGAATGTGTTGGTGTTAATTCTTTTTTGTCATTTGATCAACAACAATGTCGTAAAGCTCTTGCTAAATGGATTATTGATAATGAGATACCATTTAGAACTGTGGAATCAGAAGGATTTCGTGATTACATTAGTGTCATTCAACCTCGATTAGGAATTTCATCACGAAGAATACTTTTTAGAGATTACAATAAGATTTTTGAATATGAGAAGTCAAAGTTGGAGACCTTTATAAGAAAGCACAAGGGTAGTGTTTGTGTCACCACAGATATTTGGACAGCTTGCCAAAATCTGAGTTATATGTCATTAACTGCCCATTTTATTGATGATGATTGGAATTTGCACAAAATTTTTTTAAACTTCTCACCAATTCTTGGTAATTGGGTTATGCGATTGGAAAGAAGGTTGAGGATTGTTTGGTGACTTGGGAGATTAAAAATATTTTCACCATAACGGTTGACAATGCGAGCGCGAATGATGTTAGTTTGAGATATCTAAAAAACAGATTGAAGAAATGGGGAGGGGTGACTTTTGGATGGAAAGTTTTTACATATAAGATGCGGTGCACATTTTTTAAATTTTATTGTTAAGGATGGATTGAATGAAATAAAGAGTTCAATTAAGCGAATCCGGTATACTATTCTTTATGTGAGGTCTTCTTCAAATTGTGCACAAACATTCAGAAAGTTGATGAAAAAGCAAAGATTGAATACGAATGTTGGATGTTGATACAAGATGAAATTCAACATATAAAATGTTGGATTCCGCCTTAAGAGTGAAAGATGCATTTGATTTGTTAGAATACGAAGATGACAAATATAAGGAAGAGTGGAAAAAGAACAACAAAGTGCCACATACAGAGGATGATTGGTCATATGCGCATGGATTTCTATTATTTCTTGAGTGCTTTCATGATACAACTGTTAGAATCTCTAAGTCTAAATATGCAATTGAGAATTTATATATGAAAGAAGTTTCTTGTGTTCCATATAATATTCAATCAATGGTGGAAGATCAAGATTCATTAGTTAGATCAATGGTTTCCAAGATGTCTGGAAAGTTTTTTAGATATTGGGGAGATTGAAAAAATGTTAATCCAATGATTTATCTTAAAACTATTCTTGATCCACACCATCAAATGCGTTAGTTGAATTTTATGATTAATCGCGTGTATGCAGATAGTGAAGCAAAAAAAAAAAAATTTGCTTCGGTCAATTCATGATGTTTGATGAATAGAATTCCACTTCAATTTCTAACATTGAAGTTGAATCTTCTAGCATGGCTTGCTGTAGTGCTACACCGAATTTTTCCCAAATTGATGATTTTGAGAAAAGATTGCAGAAAGAGTTGGAGGAATTAGAAGCAATTGAAGTGCTTGTGTTGAAATCTGAGTTGGATAAGTACTTGGATGACGAATGTAAAAGGATAACCTAACCAAACTTTGATATCTTGTATTGGTGGAAAATAACGGGGTCCAAATATCCGATCCTTTCTCGCATGACAAGAGATGTATTGGTCATTCTAGTATCTATGGTTGGTTCAGAGTCGGCTTTCAGCACGGAAGGTCGTGTTATTGATCATTTTTGGAGTTCTGTTACCCCAAAGTTGATTGAAGCATTCATATGTACACAAGATTGTAATTCTCTTGAGCATGAAGATTTTGAAAAAAATCAAAGCAGGTATCTTATTTAAATTTAAATACTTAGTTAAATTGTCAATTTAAGTGTAAAATATAAATTTTTGATTATTTGTTAATTTTTTCTTTACAGTATAAGAATGACATATTTTGGATTTAGATGAATAAGATCGAGGTAAACTTTATTTGTAGTATCAATATATATATTTTATTATAAATTGTGAGGGCACCACCCGGACCATGAAAACGTTCTTCGTAGGAGCAGCTCAAAAAGTCTGGCCTGGTGTTTTTTCTCTACAGTAAAAAATAAAAAATAAAAATTATTACTTTTGATAATTCATGCAACAACCGTATCAAACTGTTAGCAACGGTAGCAGACTATCATCGGCACTAATTGCTAATATCTCCCGACAGTTTATCACTCTTGAAAATTCACTTTTAAATTTAATTTACAGGTTGCGTCTATTGCAAATTGCTTATGTTACCAATTCTAGGAAATTTAAATTCTTGAGTTTTCAACCTAGTAAATAAATTTATTATTTATACTTGTAGCTCTTTTTTTTCTTTTTTTTAATTTATTGATATATTTTTTTAAAAATATTATATTATCTTATTTTTCAGGAATTCACATGTTAAAAGAAAGTTTAAATCTCCACTCAATTGAGCGTGTAGTTTTTTGTGGTAAATAAATTTTATTGTACTATAATTGCATTTTATTAGTATTATTTTTAATTTTATTGATTTTTTCTAAAAAATTATTTTATTATCTTATTTTTCAGGAATTCAGCGGTGAAAAGATGCACATGCAGATTTATTTTCATAGATATTGTATTTTAACTTGAAATAAACTTTATGTTTTATATTAATTTGTTTTTAGTTGAACTGATACCTTGTTGCGTTTATAAGTATTTCAATTCCAAAAGTAGATTTATTTGTCACATTTGCTTGAATTCGGTTCGGTTCAGATATTTGTAAATAGTACAAATATTTTCGGTTAACTGGAACTGAATTTTTGGTTCGGTTTCGATTCGTGGTTTCGATTCGTGGTTTCGAATATTTGTTCTATTTGGTCCGGATATCAAATATCTAAATATTTGCAAATATCTTAACCGTGTCCACCCCTAGTTAAAA